TTATTTCTTTTTATATTAAAATACTTTCTCCTATCTAACATAATATGCAGAAGCAACTACTGTGTAAGTAAACCATTTGTAGGTTGATTTCTCCAAGAAATACCCATAGTGGTGTGACTTACTTTAGTAAGCATAAATGTCTATTTAATTTATAAAGTGAAGACTAAGCAGTTTTTTTAATCATTTGATTTCTTTATTTAATGTAGTATTTCTTGTTTCTTACTAGATAAATAGTGCTTGAAGTTCTCCATTAGGTCTGTTTCCTTTGTGTCTTTGTAATACTGAATTTCTTTGTCCTGTTGCTCAATTAGGCTTTTTTGTTTGTTTGTTTGTTTGTTTTATCACTGTTTATTTGTTTTTAGTATAAGCTTGAGAGTTTCCTTTTAAATTGTTAGTTAGGCAATTTTTTGTTTTGTTTTTGTGAACTCCATTTTGGTATCATAAATTGTATTCTAATATGTTATTATATTTGGTTGAACTGTGGGTAAAGAGAGGATCTGTGAAAAGTACTTTGGTTGTTGTATTATAATATTTATTGTACTGGAGATTGAACCTGCATCCATTTTTAGAATGACTGTCAATATAATTAACCTTATTTTTTTTACATGACCCAAGCAAAAGTGGAGGGATCCTGTGCAGTAACTCAGTTAATTTTTTTACTCTCTGACTAAGCATAAATGTCTATTTAATTTATAAAGTGAAGACTATGCAGTTTTTTTTAAACATTTGATTACTTTATTTAATGTAGCATTTCTTGACGTTCTTCGTTCGTCTTCGGGACACAATTTAAGATAATTTGGATGAAAACTGGGAGGCTTGTGACTGTCCCATTGACTGCCAAGTAAATCATACTGTCAAGGTCCAGAAAAGTATGAAAAGCATCGTCAGGATAGTCCATCTGCCATCAGTGGTTCAATCAGAATTTTATGAAGCGACGAGAATACTTTTGTACGCGAAGAAAACAAAAATAACGACTTTATTCAACAATTTGTCGTTCAGCAGATATTCTCCAAAATGGCGCTACGGTGATGCAGAGAGACACAGAGGAGATGGATTGTTGAATAAAGTCGGTTGAACCACTGTTGGCAGATGGATTATTCTGACGATGCTGTTCATACTTTTCTGGACCTTGACAGTGTGATTTACTAAGCAGTCAATGGGACAGTCACAAGCCTCCTGGTTTTCATCCAAAATATCTTAAATTGTGTTCCGAAGACGAACAAAGCTTTTACGGGTTTGGAACGACATGAGGGTAAATGATTAATGACAAAATTTTCATTTTGGGGTGGAGTATTCCTTTAAGAATGAATGTTCACATCATCAAGTTGTATTCTTTGAGTCCAGCTACCCTTTTTTTTTTTTTTTTACGAAATTAACTGTAAAGGAAGAGACCAGGATGGGTTATGCATTTCTCTCTTTGCATTACTTTAGTCTTACTGAGCTACAACCTTTTATCAGTTTCACAACCCTATTATGAGTACAGCCAAACACAGCTATTAGGCCCTCCCTCCTTAGGAAAAGAGATGTGCTCTATTTGTTCATATGAACTGGTGTGTAACACTTGACTTTGAATCACAGGAGAAGTTTGAATCACAGGCCAGTACCAGTGTTGGACAATACCTACAGTAGATCCCATTTTGGTGAAGACTTCAATTAACGTTGAAAAGAGTATATAATCAGAAAGAAACCTAGAGAGCTGGGGGCAAGTCAGCAACAATCCAGAGTTTTTTGAGCCATTACAAGTACAACTCTCGAGGAATGGTTCTCCAACCACATGTGGAAGTTTCTACCCTTAGGAGTATTTAGGAGGAGAGATGCTGGTTTACTAGCTTTAATCTCAAGTTATCACAGTGGTTTGGTGAGTCTGAAGGCTTTTCTCCCCCGCGCTTTTCAAAATCTTCAAGATCTCTTAAAAATAATTTTTAAAAAACTTGAAAGTATAGGATTTATCTAAGACTTTGGAACCATGATGGTTTTAAATATTTGTTCTAGTATGTTCTTAACTATAGGAGTAAAACTGTATGATTATTTAATTTCTATTTACATCACATTTATGCATTTAGCAGGGAATGTTTGGAAGGTTCCATCAACAAAGCCTTAAGTTTAGAAAGGCAGGCCAGTAGAGCATTGCAGTCCATTGCTGATTTTGTTCAGCACAAATCTACACGACCTGGCTGTTGTTGGAATGTGGATGCTAAAGGTCAACTTTTCATTAAACAATACCCCCAGGTTCCTTGCTTTTCGTGTTGGTGTTGTAGACCCCAGTTGAACAGTGATGTTTTGCTCAACTGACAGGTTTGCAGGGATTACAGGGAGCTCCGTCTTAGCAAGGTTGAGCTGGAGATGATGCTCCTTCATCCGAGCTGAGATCAGTCCCGATGATGTTAATCATATTGTCATTCTTGATTGCTTAACTTAAATCCTTTGGCCTCAAAATTAGAGTCCTTGTATCTGCATCACCAGCCAATGATGCCAACCATCTATAACTCATAATAGTGCTGTAACCTGAAGCCAGCTATTCTGAAAACCAAATCAATATGGTGACAAGCATGAGAGCCTGTGTGTGAACTTATGTTCTTACTCTAAATGTTTGAATTATTGCAGTGAGCTGACCCAGACTCTGTTAGCCACTCATGGCAGAGAAAACGTCTGCTTTGCAGTTTGCCGCTTATATAGACAGCAACTCAACATGCCACACAATTTGTGCCCCTTATGTGAAGCTAACAGAAGATTTGATTGATTGATCCAATTGATTCCGCTGGAGTTCTAGTGACATGAAACTTTAAGCATAAAAGTTGTATGTGTGTGTGTGTGTGTGTGTGTGTGTGTGTGTGTGTGCGTGTATAATGTGTATATTAGCATACTTTTGAGTTTGGCCTATATTTGGCCTAAAGACAAATGATCATACTTAATAGAAGAACAAATGAACAGTCAAGACACTGTACAAAATATTAGTCTTAAACTGTAGGACATATATTTTATGCATAGAGTTTGGCTTAGGAAATGTGAATTTAAAAATAAAGCCATATTATTTTTTATGACTTGATGTAGCATTCTTTATTTGTAAATGCTAGTCCATTGTGTTTTAAACACATTATGTCATTGACCACCCAGCAACAGTTTGAAGATATAGAGGTGAAAGTCCAGAACATTTTTAAGTGGGAGAACTTGCACAATTGGTGGCTGACTAAATACTTTTTTCCCCCACTGTACATGGGATGGACTGACAGGAGACGTCAGTGCTGTTTGAAAGTATTTACTTTCAAAATGCTTGTATGGAAATGAAGAGAGAAAAATTTGTTTCCTCCCTCTGTCCTGCTGCTGACCTTGAGTTCACTTTTATAAGCTGATGGGAGACACTGACTCCGAGCAAGTATTGTCTGTTTTTTTGACAGTTTTTAATTAATCTTAATTTGGACATTAAAAAAGTGCTTTTAAAAACATATCTGTAAATGCTATAATTTAATGAGAAACTCTTCATATCACTGTTCCTTAGGATAAATGAGGTACATAAAAATGTTCTTTATAATAAATCAAGGTTATATTAAAGCAAATACACCATTAGCTAATATTATTTTCATAATATTTTTTTTTTTTTATTCAGAAGGTGGTCTTCCTGTAGTAGACATATACTGTAATGACCAGTTTTCTTTTGCAATATTCCTTTCCATTCTTGCAATATTGTCCTTTTGTTAGGTTCAGTTCTGTGATTGTGAGGCCACATAGCCGGTCAAAGTCTACATTAATTTTTTTATTACTCGATCAGATGGAATGCATTAAACTGCTGTTTCTGTTCTAATTCCTGATTGCAAATGCTCTTCATTCTTGCTAATAATTTGTAGGGATTACACCCATTTCACACATACTCTGTTTGCAGTACTCTGTATGAAGTCCATGCGTATGTGGTGCAGAAGCAGCACAGGTTCATTGTGCTTTCACATAGTTTGCAGTCTGCTACTGATCTGCAGCTGTATACCACAAACATAACATTTATCTATTATTTTAATTTCAAATCCAAAAGTTGTTACTGAAAATGCTTTTCAGCATTGTGATTCTCTTTTTACACAGTACACTAATACAATCGTTCTTAGACTTACTCACTTTTAAAAGCAATAAATATAAACATTCAATGCATTTTACTTCTAGATTTACTGTATATATTAAGTTGCTTGAGCATGTGGCCAAACATTTAAACATAGCCTATAGCCTACTTTTCTTACATTACAATGCTATCACAAACATTTTAAATTAAAAAACGTCCCACATATACTCCGTTTGCAGTGTGCATGCACTAACCTGTTAACATGGGCACAGAAAAAAATATACATCGCATGCACACTGCAAATGGAGTATATGTGAAACAGGCATAAGGGGTGGTGGTATTACCAAAATTGTAAATGGGAAAAAATATATGTGAGAGGAGGCAATGCCTCCATCACAGTATGATTGGCCTATTATGCTCCTCACTCAGCAAGTCCTGCCTCCCATGTTTGTGAGCATACTACATCCACAAAACAATCCAACTCAAGAATGAATCTAACTGGTGTAAATGGACATGCTAATTAAAAAGTAGAAACTTGCCTAATTAGATATAACCGCTTGATACCTACTTAGATCTCATGTCCAGTCAAACTTTAAATGACTTTAAAAAGTGTCTCACTCATTGATATTGTTAGTTTGCGTTCACTCAGCTTGGTGGAAGGTAAATTTCCGTGTCTGTGACCATCATGACACCTGCAGTATTTACCAAACTTTGATGATTGGATGAGCCTAAAAGAAACTGACTGTTAAAAACATTAGCTGAACATCAGTTCACAAATAAACTCAAAATCTGAAAATTGTTGCTGCATTCTTGTACAATCCTACTTTTGGCTTATTGTGTGATAAAGAAAATTAGTCATTTGAGTGTGAAAAATGTGTTGTGATTGGCTATGATGTGAAGATAAATCACTCTCTCTGTACCTCTGTCTTTTTTTTTTTTTTTGCCATTTCTACTTTAGAATCACCTCGGTTGTCCACTGCCTCTGTTGGCAGTTATGACCGGGCCTCCACTGCTACGCTGTCCGATTGTTCTGACTTCACAGAAGTCCAGAGGCCCATAAGCGTGGTCTCCACCATCTCATCCGGGTCTGGATCCTCTCGGGAAGACGTTCTCCTGTCAAGTATCCCATCTACTGGTGTGCCTATTGAGGACAACGTGGATCTGGAATTAACGCCTGCTGCTGATCCGGATGAGACTCAGGGCACTAGTCTTGCCCAAGCAACCACCCTCTTTCTCCAGCAAAATAGCAGCAACACTGTTAACAACAACAACAGCTCCTCCGTTTCCATCAGTTTCTCTCCATTTGCTGCCAGCACCATGGCACCCAACCCTGATCTTACCTACCTGGACCGTGTGGTCATGGAGATCATTGAGACGGAGCGGATGTATGTGAGAGATCTGCGGAGTATCGTAGAGGTCAGCATTAGTCTTACCCTTTCTAAACAAATGCTTATATTCAAGTGTCAAACTAATAAAATTTGCAAAAATGTAATTAATTATAATATATGCTAGGGGTGTAACAGTACACAAAAATTACAGTTCGGTGTGTACCTTGGTTTTAAAGTTACAGTTCTGTAAAATGTAAGTTATCTGACATGCTGTCATTTTTGTTAACATGCATTAGATCAGTCCCATTTTTTTCCTAGTTAATCTCATTTAGCTGAGTATTTCTAAACTGTTTTAGCATTGTCACCGCTTGCTCTACTCAAGCATGTGCTCAGCTCCCATGAAGACTTTATTGGTGATGCCTGCTCATCTCCGCTCACCTCTTTGTCAATAGATGGTGGTGTTTTTTATTTTCTAACACCATTCGTGCTGCATTTTTAAGATGTAGACATGGCGTCCCAGTTTTCCAAAAAGAACTTCAAATTTTGATTCGTCTGACCACAGAACAGAACAGAACAGAACCGAAGATCACGGGCATCCAGTATGGTTTTCCGGCCTTGACCCTTACGCACAGAGATTGTTCCAGATTCTCTGAATCTTTGGATGATATTATGCACTGTAGATGATGATAACTTCAAACTCTTTGCAATTTTTCTCTGAGAAACTCCTTTCTGATATTGCTCCACTATTTTTCGCCACAGCATTGGGGGAATTGGTGATCCTCTGCCCATCTTGACTTCTGAGAGACACTGCCACTCTGAGAGGCTCTTTTTATACCAAATCATGTTGCCAATTGACCTAATAAGTTGCAAATTGGTCCTCCAGCTGTTCCTTATATGTACATTTAACTTTTCCGGCCTCTTATTGCTACCTGTCCCAACTTTTTTGGAATGTGTAGCTCTCATGAAATCCAAAATGAGCCAATATTTGGCATGACATTTCAAAATGTCTCACTTTCAACATTTGATATGTTATCTATATTCTATTGTGAATAAAATATAAGTTTATGAGATTTGTAGATTATTCCATTCCTTTTTTACTCACAATTTGTACAGTGTCCCAACTTTTTTGGAATTGGGTTTGTAGATGACTGCAACACACTCCAAAAAAAGTTGGGACAGAGGCATGTTTAACACTGTGTAACATCAACTTTCCTTTTAATTACAATGTTTAATTTTTTGGGAATGGAAGAAACTAATTGTTAAAGTTTTGCAAGCAAACGTTTTGTCAAATCTCACTTGATACAAGACTTCAGATCCTCAGCAATCTCTGATCATCGTTGTCTGGTTCTACTTTTCAAGACAGATCTGGACTGATCTAGCACATTCACTCTGCGTCTACGAAACCATGCTGTTGTAGCACATGCAAAATGAGACCTGGCATTGTCTTGATCTAATAACCATGGACTTCCCATGAAAGATGTCATCTTGATGGCAGTATATGTCTCTGTACAATTTCAGTATATGCCTCTATGTCAGTGGTACCTTCACACATATGCCAGTCACCCATGTCATTTGCTCTGCTGCACCCCCATACCATGACAGACATTTGCTTTTGCATCTGTCACTGATGAAAGTCTGGATGGTCCCTTTGGTCTTTGGGACTGAGAACTCGACGTCCATTTTTCCCATAAACAAGTTGAAATGTGGACTCATCTGACCACAGCACACATTTCCACTGTCTTTTTGACTATCTGAGATGAGCTCTGGCCCAGAGAACCTGGCGGCATCACTGCATAGAATTGATGTATAGCTTTCTCCTAGAGTAACAGAGATTCAAGTTGCATTTATTGATGGAGCAGCAGACTGTGTTAAGTGATAGCAGTTTACCAAAGTACTCCTGAGCCCATGTGGCTATATTTAACATGTGACGGTTTCTTATGCAATGCCATCTGAGGGCTCAAAGGTCATGCACTTTCAACTAAGGTTTCCTGCATTGCACTATACAGACTGAGATTTCTCTGCATTCTCTGAATCTTTTCACAATATTATGTATGTAGTTGGTGAAATACCTACATTCTATGCAATTTTGCATTGAGAAATTAGATTTTTGATTTGTTTGACACTTTCATGAAATTTGGCACAAAGTGATGAGCCATGATCCAACTTTGCTTGCAAAGACTGAGATGCTCCTTTTATACCAAAACATGATACCCTCACCTATTACAAATTCACCTGCGTACTGTTACTGTTTCAAAACTGTTTAACTTGGATATTCTATAACATTTTCACTTTTATTTTGCCTCTGTCCCAACTTTTTTGGAGTGTGTTGCAGCCATCAAAATGTGTTTATATTTGCAAAATACATTTACGTTGGTCAGTGAAAACTTTTTTTAAACTTTTCTTTGTACTTTTGTCAGTTAAAATTCAGTTTTTCAATAAAATTCAAAGAGCATTATTACAGATTCTTGATTTTATTGCATTTTACAAAACGTCCTTTTCTGGAATTGGGGTTGTACGAGCATGCGTTGTCATCGTTATGTCGTCAGTTAAGTCATGAAGTTACAAAAAAAATTAAAGCTGCCTTAAAACTGTGCATGTATGTAAGTATTTGTTATATATGAGTCACATTTAAGAACATGTTTCTGAAATGCAGTGGTTTTCAAAACTGTCCTGGAGCACCCCAGCACTGTCTCCCTCATCTAACACACCCGATTCAACTCAAGACTTTAAGAACTGAAGTGGGTCAGAAAAGGTAAAGAGTTGTGAAAAAATACGATGCGTGTCAGATCCACGTCATGTTTAGCAGCGGCAGCTCTTAAAGTAGCCAAAATAACCTAATAACACAACTGCTGTGATGCCTGTTAATCAAAGAACAAAAGAAAAAAAAGCTTTAAGTATTTATCTACATGTAATTTAGTGTTTGATAACTTTATTCAATTTCAATTAAGTTAATTTCTGAGGAAAAATTAATAAGGTTGTGTGGCAAAAAAATATTTGTTCCTGTCTGATACTGTGACTTGACTTGACTTGATCCTTAGCAGGACTCGACTTGACTTGCTTGAGGTGAGCCACTGACTTGACTTGACTTGACTTGCTTGATTTGTTTGTACTGTGACTTGAGACTTGATGGCCACTGTCTAGTGGGCTTTGTTTTCAAGTGCGCAACTTCTTCTGCTTCTTCTTCTTCTTCTTCTTCTTGGTTTATAACGGCGGCTGGCACCAACGCAAATAGGTGCATTACCACCACCTTCTGCTCCGGAGTGTGAAACAGAGTTTTAAATTATATTTACCAACCCTGTATCTCTTATAAAATCAAAGAATACATTACTATTTATTTCACTTACTTATTTTATATCTTAATTTCTTAAAATTAAGATCCTGAATTCAATTTTTCCTTATTTCTACTATAATTTTTCTTCTTTCTTGTTCATACTTGCTAAATTCAAGAAATACATTAGGTATTGTTTCTTCAACATGACATTGTTTACATAACCCATTTGGATGTTTCCCTGTTATTTTAAGAGTGCCATTTAAATTTTAGTGCCCTAGCAATATTCTGTTAAAGATAACCTCTTCTTTCCTTGACTTACCTATACACTTTATATTATGACTTACTTTGTTTATTAAACTGTAAAGGAATCTACCGTTTTCCCCATTGTTTCACTTAACTTGCCATTCTTTAATCACTTTACTCCATATTAAAACCTTAATTTCCGATTTACTTAATGGAACTTCTATCTCTATCATTTCTCTCTGTAAAGCTTGCTTTGCTAATTTATCCACTTCTTCATTTCCCCTTATTTTGACCTCTGTCATTGCCAACAAAGGGTATATAACAAAGTATTGAGATGAAATTTTGTTATTGACCAAATACTTATTTTCCACCATAATTTGCAAATAAATTATTTTAAAATCCTACAATGTGATTTTCTGGATTTTTTTTTCTCATTTTGTCTCTCATAGTTGAGGTATACCTATGATGAAAATTACAGGCCTCTCTCATCTTTTTAAGTGGGAGAACTTGCACAATTGGTGGCTGACTAAATACTTTTTTTCCCCACTGTATATGCCAGGGGTATTGGACTTTGGTATACATTGAAAATGCAGATGCCAAGTCAACTTCTCTTTCTGTTTTTTAACCTCCAACAAATGCAAATCTACTTGAGGTGTTACATAATCCCATGGTTCATATTCCTGAATAACAACTGTTGAGCTCATCTTGATGTTATTTACTTCTGCATATATTTTATTACTCCACCCAAAACTTATTCTACATCTTTAATTTTGTTCCCAACAGTTCTGTAAGACCATTTTTGTAGGATGTTCATCTTCATGCCTCTGGAGGTTAACCCAGTAATTGACCATTAATTGTTTCCTTCTAATTTCTAGTGGCATCTCTCCTACTACGACTTGTAAAGCTGGAATGGGTGTAAGACTGCTCCACAACACTGTCTCATTGCATGAGCTTGAATTTTACAAAGTTTTTCCAACAGGTTTTTTGAGGCAGAACCATATACCACACAACAGACCGGATCAGTGCTACATAGATTGTTTTTAATGAAGAAAAACTTGCCCCCCATTCCCCTCCACTTACACATCTCATGATGTTTAACACCTTCTGACATTTCTCAACTATTTTATTTATATGTTCAGCCCAAGTAAGTTTTGCATCAAAATAAATACCTAAAAACTTAAATACCTTAACCCTTTCTAATGATTTCTCATACATCTTCAAACTCGCTTCTGGAATAACCCTCTTCCTAGAGAAAATTACTGTTTTACTTTTCTCCTCTGAGAATTTAAATCCCCATTCATATGCCCATTCTTCTACTTTCCTTATTGCCTCTTGTATCCTCTTATTAATATATAAAATATTCCTTCCCCTTTTCCAGAGAGCACCGTCATCTGCAAACAGAGACCTACCTATATCTGGTTCTACTTGATTAAATACATCATTTATCATTATGGAAAACAATAGTGTACTTATTACACTCCCTTGTGGAGTTCCATTTTCTATCTGAAATGTATTTGACACTTCATTCCCTATTCTTACCTGGATGATTCTGTTCAAGTGCGCAACTCATGGCATTCGCTGTTCTTCTGCTGGCGGCCGGTTATCAAACAGCGTTGCATTGCTGCGGGCGCCCCTTTTGGGGTGAATTGCCTGTATTCGTTGTAAGGCCTCATGCACCGAACCAAGATGTCCGTACCATGACGGTTCGGTACGAATACATGTATCGTTCCACCCCTACATATAAATGTTAAAATTGATAGCTCTCAATTATAGCTACTGCAATGTTAAATGGCTATATTCAATGGTTAAATATCAGGGGGGAAAAATATTTCCTAGGGTCATCAGTAGTATTGATATTAGTGATACTCGCCTTCAGACATAAAAAAAGATGCCACTAAACAAATATTAAAAAATATACTGTCTTTGTTGTTCCTACATTCATTTAAAGATTGAATGTGAAATTATTGCAATATACATTTATTTTTTAAAACTTTAATGCTAGGTGGGATTAATTGCTATTAATCACGATTAATTTCAGAAAAAATGTGTGATTAATTAGTTTATTTTTTAATAGATTGACAGCACTAAAAATACCATAACTTGATCTTCTGGTGAAACAACAGACTTCTCTCTGGTGACATACATCAGACTTCCCTAATCATTTAGTCGGCTTAAACCACGGTCCCTTTCTTACAGTCAGCTGCAATTTTGCATTTAGATCCACCTCTATCCAATCAGCAACTGATGGATAGAACCAAGTCCCCACGCTACACAATACAGAAATAAAGCTCTGCTGATACATCTGGTATATCTCAACTTAAAGCTAATTATTCCATTAGGAGGTCAGTTCAGTGCACTGGAATCAAGGTGGGTGTATAGTTAAACCCATTAGCTCGGTCATATCATGGCTCATACATGTTTCATTCCCTTGCCACTGAATTAACACTAGAATACATGTTTTTCATTATATATTGAATGCTTCTGAAGTGTAGGAACTGCATATTATGACTTGTTAGCAGTCAGACATCCTATGCCCCGGGATTATCACGTTATGCAATATCAGGTTTGACAATTGGATTGTGCCTATTGAGTCCCCCAAGTACAACACAATGTCACACAGCTTGAAGTGAGATTACAGTCATGAGGTGTAAAAAAAACCTATTACTTTTTAAACTTCCATTTAAAAGAACCAGAAAAACATGCATCACAATTTTATTATTTATTCAAAAGACTGTGCACTTTGAGAGACATTATCAGATAATTTTTATTTATTTGAGAAAATGAATAGATGAATACATAATACAGCCCAGAGATCACACAGTCCTGATTCTGAATAGTCTATCCACATTTGAATTGTTGGATTTAATTTGCACATGTCAAAAATCATATCTGTTGATAATTTCTGTTGATATTGTAATAGTAATTGCTGTATTAATTTTGATTAATTTAATTTGTTAAAATACTTATTTGATGTGGCAACAGCATTCTGCATTCTTTTTGTAGACTACAAACCATTTGCTGTTTTGTACATCAGTAAATAAAAACTAAATGTTGAACCTAACATTGCCAAATTTAGAAGCATTGAAAACAAAACTGTTCAAAATATGAAAGAGTTATGCACAGAAATTGAGCAAAGCATCAATATTACAATGCACCATAACAATATAATCACTGAAGACTGAAGACTACATACATAATGCATGGTTACTGGCTGTTATTTGCAGTGGTGGCTCGTGGGTTTTAAAATAGAGGAGGCACACTAATTGTATTGGTCTGGGATCCCTGCCGATTATTATTATTATTTGCTTAACCACTTTAAAATGGCTTTTTGGTTGCTTTTAGTCAGAAAACATAAAGAAAACGACATACATACAGCAAGATAATATAACTTCACTTACCTGGCCTATCACTTGAACCAAACATCCATCCCTTCTTAAAAGTCTGTGTTAAAAGAGAGCTGCCTGTTGCGCCATTTAATTAAAAGAGTCATATGATGCGATTGCAAGTTTTCCTTTGGAGTATTACAAGCTGATTGTGCATAGATAAGATCCCTGAAGTTGCAAAGACTAAAGTCTCAAAACCAAAGAGATATTCTTTATCAAAGTTAAGACTCTGCCACGCCCCCCTAAAACGGCTCGTTCTAACACGCCCCCACATATCTACCTCACTATGTGGAAATATTAGCATAATGCCGCCCAAATGTGCACGCAAAGAAAGAAGGCGTGGTTTCAGTAACCGCAGTTAGTGTTGATGGAGCCATGTCAGGGAGACACTGTATCTTTCTAGGCGAAAGCAAAAGCACTTTATTTGGCCTTCCGAAAGTAGATGCATTTAGGAATCTTTAAGATTACTTACAACAGAACAGCAATGCATTTTATGGACGACCGTTTCATGAACCTAGGAGAGGAGGTAATTCTGACTTTGCTATGACAATCTGGCGCTTCTGAATCAGCTACTGTAAGTATGTTTTGTTATTAGTTTAAGTATTTGCTATTGACTGTTCAAATGCGGAGTTTTGCGCATCGTGTGTGTGTGTGCGAGAGAGCGCGAGAGAGCGGTTCAATATTGCTACTCATCATAAGTACTTGGTACATTATCAGCGCAGCGGGAGACGTTCAAACTAATATCACGTAATTTACGTCTCTTTGATGATTGGATGATATCAGAAGGCGAGGCTAGCATCCCTTACGAGGTTTCTTTTGTCAAAACTCCTCAGCGCTGAAAGTGAACACTCGATGGTGATTGGCAAATTTTTTTTTTTTACCAACGGAGGCACGAGAGCTCAGCGCTCACTCTGCCTCCCCCTACCCTTCTCTATTATTAGCAGTTGCAATTACATCAGCAGATTCGGCACATTCGCAATAGAAAAGTGGCGCTTTCACGTTATGGTATTACAACTGTGAAATTACAAACAAAAAATACTCATTCTGAGACATGAACTGAAATGAATTGTGAATTTTATTAACATTAAATCGTCTTCCTCCCATTTTCACCTCAAAATTATGGGGAAGCTGTGCCTCCCCTGACGAGCCACCACTGGTTATTTGTGTACATTGCATAGGTGTTTATTCACAACAATACAGTACAATGCAGTGCCTGTGCAGCATAGCTTTCTTTTAAGGCCTTTGAACTGTAGTTTACCGTAGGCCATGTGAAGCTTGTGAGGTTTCACTTGCTTCATGCAGTTGGTAGCATCGAGTCAAACTTGTCTTTCCTCTTGAATTTGAAATTTGACAGTATCTGTGTAGGGTCAAAAATGATCAAAGACTTCTGCTTTCCTGTCCCAAACCTATCTTCAGAAACAAAAGGGCCATTTGGAATTCCTGAAGGCACAAGAGGTGCTGATTGTGATCAAGGTCTGTAGGCCAACGTGTGTATAAATTAAGGGGGTCTGCTAATTGTCACACTGTTTGCACCCTGGGTGAAGCTGTAATCTGCTGATTGGTCAGTTTGAATGTCTCAGATTTGGTTTTTAGTCACATGGTCAATGAAGGGATAAAAGAGGATAGTAACCATTGCTCTTTCTCTTTTCTTTTCTTTCGTCTTTTTTCTTGGCTGGCAATCTCTCTTTCTTTGCTGGGGCCCTTTTCTTGGGGCTCTGCTCTCTCTCCCTCTATCTTTCTCTCTGTCTCTCTCTATCTGCAGATTTGAAATACAATAGTTATTATTTTTTTGTGGATGACAATCTCTTGTGCCGATTGAGCTATAAAACTTGTATATGAGCCACTTTCTATTTCTCTATTATAAACCTATATTGACTGTTTGTTTTTATGTTAGAGCTTAAATGTAATGTATATCTTATATTGAAATTTTTATGTAGTTGTACATATGAAATCAGGCATCAAAATGATACACAATAGAATAAATATATAAAAAATATTTACAAAATATGGATTTTGATTTGGTACTTTTGTGCTGTTTAGTTTCAGTTTAAAAGACATAATTTCAGTCAGTACCTATGTTAAAAAATAAAATATTGGCTGATGCTCATTGATATGCTTACCAATATAGCTCATTGATATTACCAATACAATATAGTGCATCTTTTGTGATAATCTGATTTTCTGTTTGCAGGACTACCTTGCTCACATTATAGACTCAGGAGATCTTCCCATAAAGCCAGAACAGGTGTGTGCTCTGTTTGGAAACATTGAGGACATCTATGAGTTTAACAGGTAAGAAATCATTAATTATTAGCTTGTTTTTACAGCCCAACGAAACCGAAACCAGCACCAGTTATTTATTGATGTATGTACAGACACGAATGCATAGGTTTTCTATACAAAGAAGAATCTAAATTTTAAGACATTATGATGTTATTTTAATTTCTTATTTAATAACAATGGTGACTAAAGGCCCGTTTACACCAAGAATGATAGCTATAATGATAATTTTATTAGAGCCCACACCAGAGGATGAAAACATTCTTTTTACGGTTTTGCAGTTATGTCACCCAAATGCAATAAATAAAAGTAAATGACAGGATATGAAAAGAATGATGACTAGCTGTTCCTGACATGTATTTATTGATGAATGAAGTCCACACAAGATGTTTAGGTCTTTGGTCTACTAAAAGATGGACTCATCAACTCCCTAATCTGGGTGGGTGGAATGGCAGAAATCTTGTATCACAGTAAAAGCAATTTTTCACAGTAACAGTTTACTGTTTTTATTTGAATCATTACAAAAACAGGTCTTGGTAAGAGTTGAAAAGTCTGGGGAAACAAATTGTGATTTCACTTATAAAAATCAGAATTGCTACATTTTTTTCATTTTTTCTTTTTTTTAGGGCCCAAGCCACTAGGGGGCGAAGAGCCCTATTGTTTTCCTTAGGATTATTCTTATTAGGGCTCAAGCCACAAGGGGCGCAGGGCCCTATTGTTCCCCAAAGGATTATTATTAGGGCCCGAGCACAGATGGTGCTTTGTTTATTATTATATAATATTTGTTTATTCAAATAAAGCTTTGAAAAAGTTTCATAAAATGGTAAACCACACATTTCAGCCTTTAAATAAAGAAAAGGGTTGTCAAAATGATAATTGATTAATAAACGTTGATACATTTGAATCCACATAAGCTTGTTTTTCATCAACTGGTTAAAATGTACAGCCGGGCATGTAAATTTGGTCAAATTTTTGGCCAGACAAAAACTGCACACAGGCTGAATGTAAATGTAACCCTCTGTAAATCCACTCTCTGACATTAGGTGGTGCTAATGGAACAGCTGAATTAGAGCTGTTTCCCCATAACCTCCGTGGACAAAGCATTGTGATAAGAACACTTCTTTATTAGGTGGGGGCAGTTGTGGCATTAATGGTTAGAGAGTTGGAATTTTAACCCAAAGGTTGCGGGTTCGAATCTGACTAACCAGCGCTCTCTTCCACCCTCAAAACCAGGGTCAGACTGATGTAAGACCCTTGAGCAAGGCACCAAACCCTCAACTGTTCCCTGGCGCCACAGCAATATGGCTGCCCACTGTCTGTGTCTGTCTGTCTGTCTGTCTGTCTGTCTGTCTGTGTGTGTGTGTGTGTGTGTGTGTGTGTGTGTGTGTGTGTGTGTGGGTGTTTTTGTGTTGCTGTGTGTGTGGGTCTGTTTGTCTGTGTGTGTGTGTGTGTGTGTGTGTGTGTGTGCACTTGGATGGGTTAAATGCAGAGCACAAATTCCAAGTATAGGTCACCATACTTGGCCTTCACTTTCACTTTCATTACACGGAGTGAAGATGAAAACAAAATGCTATCAAATCTTTTCTGAAGACAGTTAGAACCTTCAGAGGTACATTCATATAATTAATTAATTCATATATTCATATGTATAATTCCCTTAGCACTCTTTTAAAACCTTCCAGCTTTCTGCCATGTTTTCACACAAAACAAAACTACTTTTGAGGGCATAAACAATGCTAAAACTCACAAACTTTGTACACGCATCAGAACTGGAAAAAATGTAAATCCGATATGGGTTTGAGAATTGGGAGTGGCAAAATGGCTCGATAGCGCTACTTATCAAATTTAAACGAAGCACCCCTCCTGCTATATTTCACATGTGTACGAAATTCGGTACATGTATGTAATGTTATAATACCTACAAAAAAGTCTCTTGGAGCCAAGTCCTAAACGCAACAGGAAGTCAGTCATTGTGAATTTCCTCTATGGTTTTTGTGCAGTTTTTGCCATTTTCAGGCCTCATACTTTAACAAACTCCTCCTAGAGTTTTAATCAAATCATCTTCAAATTTGGTGAGTGTAACCATAAGGCCTTTACAATACTAAATTGCGAAGATCTTGAGTTTTTGTCTAAGGACTTGTCCGTTTTCCTTTTTTTTTCTTTTTTTTTTTACTATCCAGGGGTTTTTGGAGCCCTTAATATGCTCAAAATCTCTTGAAAATTGGCACACACGTTGGAATCTGTGGTCATTAGGACGGACCTGGGTGCCACAGGATTACAGGGGCTCTACAGCGTATCTTGATGCATATCTCATGCATACTTGCACGTATAGATATGAAACTTGTGACACATATAGATCTCACTGAGCCAGACAACTTTCTCAATGCATGTCATAGGCTCCGCCCAACAGGAAGTCAGCTATTTAGGGTTTTCTATAAAGCTCATGCATCAAACTTTTTAATACTCCTAGGTTTTTAATCCGAAAAACTAATTTATGATGAAAAATGAGAAACAGGAAGTGTATTAGAACTTTCACATACATTGTCTGATTTTGTATGAGGCTGATCACACAGATGTGGCTATTATGACTAACAATTATAGCGCCACCAACTGGCAGCAGGAAGTGTCATTTTCAAAATACTTTTGAAATCACCCTCTTATTTTTACCCGATTTGCTTCAAACGTCATCAGAATAATGTCAAAGCATAGCAGATGAGAAACTGTGAAGGGATTATTAATATTTTAAATAGTGTTGCCATGGCAACATGTCGAACTTTAATAGTTTTTTTTCTTTTGAGGCACTTAACATGCTTAGAATTACATGAAACTCGACACACATCACTGGCAAAAAGCTCAGAAATGGGCGTGGTGGAGGCGCTCTACAGCACTACCTTTTAACTAAAGTGGGGGGGAGTTTTACTTACAGTCACTAAACTCAATACATACTGTATATTGTTCTCATCAAGCTGGATATTAGCTACGACCAAAAGGAATTCAGCTATTTTGTTTTAAATGCGGATTTTTGGAAAAAAACAGGCTGTAAATGAATGCATACTCATGGAAGTCATGGCCTAATGGTTAGAGAGTCGGACTCGTAACCCAAAAGTTGCGAGTTCGAGTCTCGTACCGGCAGGGATTGTAGGTGGGGAGAGTGTACAGCGCTCCGGAACAGCACTGTGTACAGTGGTCTTTCCCACCTTCAGTACCACGACGGAGGAGCCCTTGAGCAAGGCACCGAACCCCCAACTGCTCCCTGGGTGCCGCAGCAAAAAAATGTCTGCCCACTGCGCCGGGTGTGTGTTCACTGCTTAAATTTTTTTAAAGGGACGTGGCATGTGGCCAAATTTGACAAAGTTTGGCCAAGTAGTACTCTGCTGTGTGCACTTTGGATGGGATACTTTCCCACATATCACGTCACTTTAAAAAAATTTTTTTTACGAGAATCATGAAATTCACACCAAACTTTGTCAACATGATCAAGATACTGAAAATGCTAAATTGCAAATGGATTTTGGATATCTTGAATGGTGTTGCCATGGCGATTTATTAACATAACAGTAAAAAAGATAACAGTAATTTTCTTATATCTTTAAAGCGCATTGTCCAAACGCCACAATTTTTCATTCCTAAGTCATTCTCAGGAAACATGCTTAGTTTCATAAATTTACGCTCAGTGGTCAACAAAATTTACACTCAGCGGTCAACAAAAAACTTAAAGGGGTCATATGATGCTGCTAAAAAGAACATTATTTGGTGTATTTGGTGTAATGAAATGTGTTTATGCGGTTTAAAGTTCAAAAAACACATTATTTTCCACATACTGTACATTATTGTTTCTCCTCTATGCCCCGCCTTTTTGAAACACGCCGATTTTTACAAAGCTCATCGGTCTGAAAAAGCGAGGTGTGCTGTGATTGGCCAACTATCCAGTGCGTTGTGATTGTCTGAATACCTCAAGCGTGAGACGGAAATGTTACGCCCCTCACATACTGTTGATGCCCTGTCAGTCTGGAGCGATGAGACAAAAACATAAAAACCCATTACAAACGAGGCATTTGTTGCATCCAGTGGGGACATAATTACGGATTATAATGACTTATACTGTCTTTTTACGCCTTGCGTTGCATTGCGCCGCGTAAACATAAAACTCTGTCTGCATTTGGGATCGGAGAAATGACAAACAACAAGTGCTACTCCACACTGCCCAAAACTCGCGTTTGAATCATCAGTGGCAAATTCATTAAATGAAAACGTATTTACGTGAGTCAGAACAGCCGGCGCACCAAGAGCTTGTAACACTCCAAAGAGAAATGAAAAATTGAAATCGCATCATATGACCCATTTAAAAACTATCAGACATTTCAGCTGACAGACAATAGAAGGAGTCACTAGGCGCGTTTCCATTACCCTTCAAATTGCACAAATTGAAATTGCGAATTGAAAATACGCCTAATGGAAACGGGTCAATTTCGCAAAAACGGCCATATATCGCAAAAAAGTTTTTACGCTCGCATGAGGTGGTTTTTCAGGCAATGCGAAAAAGGATTAATTCGCAAAACTGCAATGGAAACGGCTTTTTCGCATTTACAGGTCACATGGCATATGTAAAAAGTCATATGATCATTCTTCAACGTACTATAACCTCCAAGAAACACTTCATAAGTGACCGCGCTCCAGTATAGGGGGCTTTCCCTACTATTAATACTTAGACAATTTACATTGTACACGTCTGCGGTGCAGTGTGGCTCTGATACGGCCACTGAAGCTGATTGCGGCCACTCAATGCTTTCGTCTATGTTTTTATACAGTCTATGGTTTATTCCAGCCGAGCCACGCATGTTTCTGAAGCGGCTCTCTTTGCTGCTTCTGTAAAGATACACGCATAAGCCTCCTTTGAATAAATATAGCCAAAATCCGTCAAAATCCCACCAAAATCCGTTGCCATGACTTATCGCGAGAGGCAAAAGGTTACGTTTTAGCTGCATAACATTGGTTAATGGAAACGCCGTCAT